AATCTGATGACCCCAAATTTATCAAATGGAGACAAGCAGACTCAACGGTTATAACATGGATTCTAGAAAACATAGAATCGGATATTGTCAATCAATATATCGATTATCCTACTGCTTGGGATCTGTGGAAGGGAATCGAAGCCACCTACGGCTCCGGGAAAGATCCCTTGCAGGTATACAACTTGATGGTGAAAGCTAGTAGCATCAAACAAGGAGACCAGACACTAGAGAAGGTCTATAGCCAATTGCAAGCTGTGTGGAAGGAAATCGACAGGAGGCGACCCAACCCGATGAAATGCCCAGAGGATATGACGATTTTCACACAAATTCAACAATAAAATCGTCTGTATCAATTTCTACAAGCCATAAACGAAGAGTTTGATGTAGAAAAACGTGATATCCTCAAAACAGATCCCCTCCCCTCCGTAGAAGAGGCATACGCCCAAATCAGGAGGGAGGCTACCAGGAAAGGAATAATGAAGGGAGACGATGGGCCTTCATCGGGAGATGTTCCCTCAGGTCTTGGCAGTGGGTTCGTAGCCACACGGGCTGGATTGCGATCGGAAAAGGAGGTATCGTCATCTTGCATAAATGAGGACAAATCAAAATTGAAATGTACCTATTGTGGCGGAACCAAGCACACCGCAGAAGGGTGCTTCAAAAGAATCGGGTACCCAGATTGGTGGCCTGACAGCCGAAAGAGGGGGAAGAAGCAGCCTGGGGTCGCTGGGGCAGTGGTGGGCAATCAAGAGACCACCAGCACCACTGCTGTCCAAGCGTCTGAAAACTTCGCCGGAATCGCCATGGGTAACGTCGAAGAAGAGAGCAGCGGCGTAAGAAGGAGAGGCGAAGAAGTTACGGGTAGGGGCGAAGTGATGGGTAGGGTTTGGGGAGAGGGATTAAATACTCTTTCCAAATCAGGCCCAATAAATAGAATCTGGCCCAAATCCCCGCAAATTAAAAATAACCAGTGGATTTTTGACTGTGGGGCTACTGACACGATGTCCTTCGACCGTTCCGATTTTAATTCTCTAAATTGGTCCAAGAAAACGCATATCCAAACGGCCAATGGGAATTATTCTCGTGTCGAGGGCACTGGTCCAATATCTATCTCAAATTCTATCCGGCTGGAGAATTGCCTATTTGTTCCCACATTGTCTCACAAATTGCTGTCAATAAGCCATGTCACAAAACAATTAAATTGCATGGTCCTAATGCACCCCACTTTTTGCTTATTACAGGATATTCAGACGGGGAAGATCATTGGGCATGGTTCTGAGCGTAATGGCCTGTACTATGT